AATTATATAACGAAAGAGACGAAAGACTTATCAATTCGAAGCGATTCGAGTTTATTTGAACGAGGGTTGGGGATAAAATTCGTGCTCCGAAGAAAAAGGTATACGCTTATCGTTACGCGTATATCGTGCGTCCGACCACCACAATACACGGGAATGCCGTTCCACGGCTTACATACGTACCCAACGGACTAATTCCTCGCCACGCACCAAAGGCCGTGTAACAATAAAACATTACGATTAGACGCCGTGTTTCCGAGTTTGCGACACCGGTTGCCAGCTCGTAGGCGTCTCCCGTGCAGTATATCGTCATCGGCCCCCGATAAGTATCGTGCCAGCCGAAGATCGAGAATACCCTCCCCTCCCCTGGTCCTCCTCGCAACACAAAGTCCTCCACCTTCGAATCTTTAATCGTATTTCAAGAAACGATTCGTATCTGATCCGATGAATCTCAGCCCTTCCATTGATTCACTCCTCCTCCTTCTCCTCTCTTCTCTCTCGATTACGATCCTATTGTTCGATTTTTCCAAGATAATCGCATTCGGTATTGTACATCGTCTCTCGATCGATTTTTTGCTTTATTAGAGGATACTTGACATTCTTCCCTTTTTCTCTTTTTTTTTTTTTTTTAGGACTGAGATATTTCTCTTATCTTTTTTCGAATTTCAAAAATTTTTCAAGAAACTTCTCAACGGATAATTATTTATTTATTATATTTATTTGTTAAAGGGATTATTAGTAGAGTATTTTCTTTAAAGAAGATTTCATTTTTTTTGGAATTTCAACAATTTTTCAAGAAACTTCTCAGCGGATAATTATTTATTTATTATATATATTTGTTAAAGGGATTATTAATAGAGTATTTTCTTTAAAGAAGATTCCATTTTTTTTGGAATCTCAAAAATTTTTCAAGAAACTTCTCAACGGATAATTATTTATAAAGGGATTATTAATAGAGTATTTTCTTTAAAGAAGATTCCATTTTTTTTTCGAATTTCAACAATTTTTCAAAAAACTTCTCAGCGGATAATTATTTATTTATATTTATTTATTTGTTAAAGGGATTATTAATAGAGTATTTTCTTAAAAGAAGATTTCATTTTTTTTCGAATTTCAAAAATTTTTCAAGAAACTTTTCAACAGATAATTATTTATTTATTATATTTATTTGTTAAAGGGATTATTAGTAGAATATTTTCTTAAAAGAAGATTCCATTTTTTTGGAATATCGCCTTTATCTTCGTTTACAATCTTTTCTTGAAAAGAAATTCGCAAGACGATCGCGTTCCATTATATACAATTATCAAGTGCCAAGAATTATTATTTCAACCCACGAAAACGACTCGAGTCATAGAATTTGAGAAAAAAAAGATAAAAATACCGAAAATATGAGAAAAGATACGAAGAATAAACGACTAATAAAAAAATAAATAAATAAATAAATAAATAAATAAATAAATAAATAAATAAATTCTCGCGCAATCCGAAGAACAGAAAGAGAGAGATATCCTCCTCGACTCGAAAAGAAGGATCCCTTCAGATTCCTGTACACTCTGACCGAGGTAAAGAAAGGATCTCTCCTTGGTATCCTTGTATCAAGATACAATGCGATCCGTCTGTTCCCGTATCGCGTAATCGGCTTATCACGGGAACACGCACGGCCAAGGAACGGTTAACGGTTTCCTGCGTTCGATCAAACCGAACCACGCTACCCCTCCCCCACCTTGAGCAAAAGGGGAAGAAAAATCCGAATGAGAAATTTGCATCGGCCTTCCTCTCTCTCTCTCTCTCTCCCCTCTCTCTTCCCTCTCCTCTCTCTCTCTCTCTCTCTCGAGGAGAAGAAATCTCCTCCGGCGCGAAAGCGTGTACGTGTGTTGGAGAGATTCTCTGGTTCTGGGCTCTCGAACTGGGAAATGGAGAGACAGTAATGAAGTACGGAAGAGGGAGGGAGAGAGGCGAAGGCGAGTCGTGTAGGTGAATACGGGACAGGAGAGGAGTGTGTCGAATAACTTCCTAGAGGCGCGCCTGTCACGACGCCCCGGGTCATTGGTCACCCCGTGAGCTTATCTCAGGCTTGCCGCGGGCCATCTCGAACGCCTCTCCCTCCCTCTCCCCCCTTCTTCCTGCTTTCAGACGGCTCGATTTTCACCAAGCGATTTCATTATCCCCCTCGTGGCTGTACATACGTGAACATATATATATATATATGTATACGTGAACATATATATATATATATGTGTGTGTGTATATATGTTTATATATATACAGAGGGGGCCCCTGAATGGGGCCTTTCACACGGGCCGGCCGATAAATTACCAGCGGTGTTACAACGATCCGGATCCGTGGATACTGTGCGTCGCTTCCGTGTGGCCACCGTGAGGGATAGATAGATAGATAGATCGAGGATGAGTCGGAGGAGGAGGAGGAGGAGGAGGAGGAGGAGGGTTTCGTGGAATTCGAGTGATTTAGGAGGGAAGGGGGAGAGTTCTCTTTTGAGAAAGAGGAATGGACGCTACTACTTGTGGGATTGGTTAGAAACTTTGTAAAAGTTTATCGGTGGTTGTGGTTGCGATGGAGACTCTATGGAGTTTCTATTAGTCTTGCAGTGGATGGAGTTTCAAAGATTGGAAAAGGGGAGGGAAAAAATTGAGGAGGATTCTCGGTGTTTATTCTTAAAAATATATATTCACTTCCTCGGAAAGAAAGGTGTGCGATCAATTGATTTATATTGCGAATTTTAAAAATATCTGTTTAGGGTATTTTTATTCCAGTGGTGGAATGGAATTGGGAAATAGTTTTAAGAAAATTTCGTCGTACCAGAGAGTTTGGTTAAGAGGAAATCTAATTTGAAAATTAAGATCTCGACGTAGATTTTAATTAGAATTTCAAATTCTATCTCTCAGAAATTTCGTTGCAACGCTATTTGATTCACCAGAATTATTCCTCCAGAAAACTGTAAATAAGTCTTCGTAATCGAACAGAAGAGATTTGTGATTTATATAACGTATCTGGTTAATTGATAGGTTAATTAATTTATCGAGGATAATAGGGTATCTAAAGGATTGAAATGAAAATTACTTGGATTGGAATTACAAAATTCGAACGAAATTCCATCCCTCAAAAATTTCAACACCACGTTTCATTCACTTTCATCCGCCTCGAGGAAACTGATAAATCTCTGAATAATCGATTTATATAACGCGTCTCACTAATATTATATGTTATAATAGATATTGAAATTGAATATATTTGAAATTGAAATATACGTATAATTTATCCAAATTAAATTAAAATTATGAAAAATAAACGAAAAACTTACGTTACATTTAGTGATTTCATATAACGTAATACAGATAATTTATTGGCTTTTTCATCGATATCATTTGTTGTGAAATTTGACAATCTTTTAAAACTACCAATATTGTCAACAAAAAAAAAATTTTCGTACTAATTGCCAATCTGACATTTTATTATAATCCTAAAATAATTTATACTATACACATATATTATATTTATCATAATACATGTTTTGATAAAATCGAGTTACATAATCAAAACGAATATTTGCAATAACAATCATGAATATGTTACTTGAAAATATTAATTAACATCAATTAATTACTAATTTTCCAATATAGGCATAGACTTGGAAATCTAATTTCGCGAATTATTTTAAAAAATATCTTATCGAGGATAGGAATCGTAAACTTAAAAGATCGAGAATTGAAAATTCAGATTGCATCTCGTTCAGATTCACCACGATTCGAGTACGAAAATTCTCAAACTTCCCTCTATCGTCTCTCAAAAATTTCGTCGCAACGAAAAAACGGATAATCGAGCAGAACCGATTTAGATCGGCAGTAACAGTTCGCGAGGGATAACACGGAAGCACGGAGGAGCGTGCACTTTTGTCGAATCACGCCCCCCCGTTCTCAAAAAATTCTCAAACTTCCCTCTCTCAAAAATTTCGTTGCAACGAAAAAACGAATAATCGAGCAGAACCGATTTAGATCGGCAGCAACAGTTCGCGAGGGATAACACGGAAGCACGGAGGAGCGTGCACTTTTGTCGAATCACGCCCCCCGTTGCCAAGCGTTACGACACGGCGCGGAATTTCCGTGGCGATCGGCATAACCGTGAAGCAATTGGGAATCGGTTTTAACGCGATCCCCGATCGCTCGGTCACGATTCCTCCCCTACCCTCGGCCGCGAGGTTTCGTGAAATTCGAAACAATCGAGGCCACCGCCCAGTTCGTACACAGTTCGTTAGGCGACCCACCTCTCCAGGCCTCTGGTTCTATCGCTCGGCCGATAATATGCCGACGAGGGAGTAACGGTTCGTTACGCCCTTCCTATATTATTCGAATCGAAAATGTTTCTCGAGGACGTTGCATCTCGCTTTTGAGTTTAAACGCGCGTTCGTAGTAGATCTCCTCCTTTGACGATGTTGTAATGAAAAAATGACACATGAGAAATTTATCAACCCTTTGCGTTCGAACATTCATTTGCGAAATTTTCTTTTGGAATGTCGCATTATGAGTAGATTCTTGTAATTGTAGAATAATGTCGAATTTTCTTACCTCGAATTACTAAAGAGGATAATATCTTCGAGATTGGTTCGAGTATGACAATCGTGGAATATTATTTTCGTGGAAGTTTTGATCTTTCGTTATCGACGAGTTGAATAGAGGGAAGGAAAGCACGAAGAGTAGGTGCGAAAAATAAGAATAATAGACGGTGGACGTATAAAAGAAAAATTTTTGCTCTAAAATAAGAAAGATATTTTAGCCGACAAACGGGGCACGAAGCAACGATACAGCGATTTTCGAAAAAATTTTCTTTCCTTAAATATAAAAGACTTTGCCAGAAGTCATTTCGAGTTAGCCAAAGAAAATGGTCTCGAAGGATTAATTTCCTTTGAAGAAAAGAAATCCCATTAACCTGGACTTAAGTTGGAAAAATTAAATAGAAAAAAAGAAGTGCATAAATATTAATGATTGCAGATGGAGCATAGAGGCGCGGCGGCGTCGGATCGGCAGTAGCGTCACCCTAGTCGCCGGGGCCCTGAGCTGAAGGGATCGGACGCGAGAAAGCTGGGCGGCGTTGCAGCGCGGCGATGGCCGCGACCGACGGTCAGATCGTGGTTGCGGCGGCGCGCTGGGCCGAGGAAGCGACCTACCTTCGCGAATTCGTCTCCAAGTATCGTCTACCCGCGGTGATCAAGATCACGAAGGGCCAGTACGGGGGGTTGGGTGTGCCCACCCTGCCCGCGCCCAGCCTCCAGAGCACTGCCCTCCTCGTGTCGGCGGGCCGACGGCGAAAGATCGTCGCCCAGGCGGTGAAGATCAAGGAAGGGAGGAGAGTGGTCGGGGTCGGGCCCAGGCTCGCCATCCCCGACTCGTACGCCGGCTACTTCGAGATACTGAGCGAGGAGGGTAGGGCGGTCCGCGGTATAGAGTCGGTGAACGAGCTCTGCCGCCGATGCCCCGAGGAGGGCGCCCTCGTGCGGGAGACGGTGCGCGGCATAGCGTGCAGGGTGGACGACGAGTCGGGGCTGGTTGTCCCGGAGGGGACCAGGACCTTGGCCGCTGGCGAGACGATCGTGACGGCCGGGGAGGTGAGCCTGCCGGGCCGCGGACGATTTCTCCGTTGCGTGGACTGTCGGGGGGAGAGCGTCCTCCTCGGTATGGAGCAGCGGGGCCGCTTCAGCGCGGTGGCGCGCGAGGACAACATCAGCGGCGTGCACACGGCCCGCGCGTTGCTCAGCAAGCGGCTGCCGCTCACCGTGAGGCTGGTCCACGGCCAGCCGCCTAGGGGGCTCAAGTCGTCGTCACAGTTCGTGCCCGAGCTCAGGCTGTTGTCCACGTTCGAGGAGGAGCACGTGTTCGCGTTGCCGCTGCAGAGGGAGGGGGCTGCGGTGGCGTTGCCCCTGGCAGCCCCGTTGAAGCTGGTCAAAGCGCGGAACGAGGAGGCGCTCAGATCGATGCAGGAGTTCAGCAGGCTGGTGGAGCGGGCGTCGCGCCTCGTCGCCGACGTGGCGGACCGGGCCCACGTGCTGGACGGCCGCCTGGGCGAGAGCAAGCAGGCGAGCAGGCAGTCGAGAGGTGGATCGGGTTTCCTTAGGCGATCCTCGGCCGCCAATTCGGACAACAACAACGGGCCCCTTCCTCATCACAGGGGCAACGCGGCCGCCCACCACCATCACCACCATCACCACTATCACAGCAACGGCCACCAGCAGCAGCAGCAGCAGCAACAGCAGCAGCAGCAGCAGCAGCAGCAGCAGCAGCAGCCGCTCTCCTCCGCCCATCCCGGTTACGCGAGGGACGAGAATCGCGTGCCACCCTCGGCGTGCACCGAGGAGTACGACGAGATCGATCAGATTTACGACTACGTCCGCGGCTTCGCTCCACTGCCGAAGAGCGTGAGGTCCCCTTACGAGAGCCCGCTGCCGCAGCAGGGGTCGTCCAGCCCGCCCCTGACCCCCGTCACGGTCACCATCGCGCCCCTGCTCGACGACAGACCGGAACCACCCCCGATAGAGACGATACCGACCAAGAAGATCCAGGCCGAGAAGAGGACGAGGCGCGCGGTGAAGGAGGCGCCGCAGCCGAGGGCCGAGAAGCCCCCTTTGGCCAAGCTTTACGTGAAGAACAGCGGCACGCAGAGGGGGCGCCCTCTGATGAGGCAGAAGAGCGCGTCCCCTTTGAAGGAGACCCCGCCCGGGTACAAGGGGGGTTCCCCCCTTTTCAACATCAGATACAAGAGCTTGACGAATCTGCAGCAGGCCATGGAGCTGGACGGCACCCTCGACTCGAGCCACTCGGGGGGGAGAACCTCGGGGGACTCCGGTGCTGGTGCTAAGCTGCCCGAAAAGAGGTACGTTTCTTCCCTTCCTCTCCTCTCCTCTCCCCTATCCCTGGAAATAAAAATTCCACGAAGGAATTTTATTTTTAAAATTTTACAAAGCCGTCCCCTTTTCCCTCACAGATCGAGGCGTCTAAGCAGACCGCGCTCCCTGACGAATTTAGTGTGGGAGCTGCGCGGCGGAAGCGGCCTCGGCTGCGCGAGACCGGAAACCCCGCCGCCGGCCACCGCTGCACCTCTGCCGCCCACCAAATGCGGACCACGTCTGGCCGTCACCGTGGTGGCACCCCGACGCGTTAGCACGCTCTACCTCTAACTCGTGAGTAACCATACACGTCTATACCTTCTTTTATTTGAATTTCCTGGAAAGGAAGATGGCGTCGATAGCCGTCGCTTTATTATTATCCCCGTTCGTTAATAACGTTTCCCCGAACGATTCTTATTCCTTCCAACGGGGGGATAATCGTCTCTCGCCTTCGTCCCCTCGTTTTAATAATCCGACACTTCCGTGTTCTCTCTTCGGGTATATTTTATCGAGTCGTCGACGAATCGCAGGCCGTTGCACCAGTTATGGCGCAGTTAGAGGATAGCCACCTAGTCTCGAGCTCGAATCGTTAAACTTACCCAGCCCCGGGTCGAGGCATTAACGAAGCGTTTTAGTGGCCGTTGTAAAAGGTGGTCGAGCCGTTTCTCCTTCTATCGTATTCCTTCTTCGTTTAATCGCCGCCCTCCTCTTCCCTCCGACGTCATAAGCTCGGTCCAGGAAACGCGTGTGCGTGCCATCCAGGAAGCGGCCGTATCTTATTACGAATTATTGTTGTTGTCGTTGTAGCCTCGCCTCGCCTCGCCGGATGAAACGTTAACTTCCATTTTCTATCCCGTTTCAACTAAAGGGAGCGTGACGAATTTGTACGAGCGTGTACGTAGCTCGTTCGTATACGAACGAATGCAAATTTCCCTTCGTCCATCTCTCCTTTCTCCTCCTTCTCTTAATTGCGGGGGACCGTGTCTCAAATGTGTTTTACCATCGGATACGCAAACGTTTGAATCTTCGTTGTTTAACTCGCTTAGATACCTGGCTTTTAATCGTGGGTAAAATCGTAGGTACGATTATTAAGCGACAGCCGTTTTATTTAATAACAGAGCCGACTTGGGGCGTAAGAGATCAATTATATTCACCTTTGGAGAGCTTTGAGAATCCGCGTTCTACGAATCCTTATTATTATTATCAACGTAGAAAGTCTGTCCAAGTAATCGTTAGAAACTTGTCCCGAATGAGTGATCGTTATATCAGAGTATCACGAGAAAAGGAAAAGAGAAACGAAGAGGGAGAGGAAGTTCTCTGTTCATGATCGTTTCCGGTATTCCGAAGATGAACGCGAAACAGCGTGGTCTGGCACGTAGGGGAGAGGGGGAGGGGGGAGGGAGGGGGCGAACCAACACGATTTAACTTAAAATGATTTCACAGGACTAATCGACGTATAAAATTTTTGTATTTTAATATTCTATGTATATTTACGTATAAAGAAAGAAAATTCGTCGAATTATTAAAGTCTTAAAGTGGTATTTTAATAATAAAGTAATTATCAAGGTGCATCCTCGATACGTCAGGGATATGAAATGTCGATGTGTTTTCTTATTTTTCTTATTTTATCGAGAGCAAATACTTTACAATAACATCTTTTTATACTACATCTCTATTTTTCCTTCTCTCTATCAATTTCTTAACGAATAGAAAGTAATTTCGTTATTTAATAACGACAGACTTATCTTGATATCCAAACAAACGTGTTCTCATATTCTCTATCTGTTATTTTTATTTTTCATCTTCTTATTTACATTTCTATTTTCATCCCTATTTTTCTTCTCATTATTAATTTCTTGACGTATAGAAATAATTTTGTTATTTAATAATTGAACCAATATCCAAATAACGTGCTCTCACATTCGCTGTATATTATTCTTATTTTTCATTCTTCTTATGCTACGTCTCTATTTTCATTCCTATTTTCCTTCTCTCTATCAATTTCTTAAGGAATAGAAATAATTTCGTTATTTGATGAAAAATCAAAATCATCTTCGATCCAACTAATTTCATTACCGTATTTAAAACTTTGAAAATAATATTTCTATTCTCATATATTTCGAAAATATAGTTCGATACGCGATCACCGTCTAATTTGAGATAAAAAAATCTAAGCATTGGATATATTATTCCATAAAATATATTTTTATAAAATTACAGAGCTTCTGGAAATCTATTGAAGCGATATTTTAAGAAAAATCATTACTATATTCCATATTTACAAAACTTTAAAAATAATATTTCTATTCCCATATATTTCGAAAATATATCCCATATATTTCGATACGCGATCACCGTCTAATTTGAGATAAAAAATCTAAGCATTCGACAGTATATTATTCCACTTTATAAAATTACAGAGCTTCTGGAAATCTATTTAAGCGATACTTTATTAAGAAAATTTTACAAGTACTATTATTAAGAAAAATAATTTTACAAGAAAATATATTATTAAGAAAATAAATTTTACAAATACTATTATTAAGAAAAATCTTACAAAAATAAATATTGTCGCATCGATCCTTGTGAATGGTGGCTGAGATTGGTCATTCACAAGCGAAAAGGGTTAAATATCTCGTCCACGTTCGAATATCGACGCGGAGAGGGACGAGAAAGGAGGAGGAGATAACGAGAGGGAATCGGGAAAAGGAGGAGAAGCGGCGGACAGATAGTCGAGACAGCCCGGGGATACGTAACGTCATCCTAGCTTGGCACGCCGATATAATGGCTCTGGTTTGCCTGGGAGCCGCTCCGTGAGCGGAATCGAACGAGAGCAGGTTCAACGGCTGAACAAACCGTGGCTTCCGGTCGCCCGCGCCTCCCCTTTCGACCGGCCTGCCTCCACTTTCCACCGTTCATTATGAAAATTATGATTACTCGAGAATTGAACTGGGAGAATTCGAGCGCGTGAAACGAGACAGCTTAACGTTAATGTATTTGGTTGCGTGGAAAAGGAAAGAGACAGGCAGATCAGATATTGATTTGGATCGAGAAGAATCGAATCTTGGTGAAAAAAAGTCTTTTTAAATTTAAGAGAACGACAGATTCAGTTGAAACTATTTATAATATTCTGTTTCGAGATGCCTAGTAAAACTTCTTGAAAAATTACTAAGGAAATTGTAATCGATTATATTGGTAATTGGTACAGTCGGTAACGTAGATATTCCAACGTCTACATTTGCAATTTTTGAAATGAACGAAATGTATATGTTGAAGAGACTTGTTTAAGATAATAAGGGGTGTAATAGTAGAAGAGAAATCTCAAAAATTATGGCGGAAAAATTTGAAAATGATTCATTATATAATTTATTATATAATACGCATTATTAATAGGTTAGAAAAATATTCGAATATATGCGGTTTTATTTAACATTAATATTTCGTTGGACCATCTTTGGTGGTAATAATTTGTCTCAATCGACGTTCCATATCGTGAACCAGTGATTTTGACGGAATTTCATATTTCTATAATTTTTTTTCTTCAAGCAACATTTGTTTAATTTTTTGCCTATTTCAATCCACAAATTTTCGATTGGATTTATATCCAAACTCTGCGTATTTAACATATATTGTGTATATTAGAATCGTTACCCACTGTATATAATAAAATCGAGTCTTGCTGAATTCTTCCTTTCCACTTACATACCCTAAACTCGAACGCGAACAAACGACAGATGTCAATCATTTATTTTGTATTTATTAAATAGAATTATTTATGACTCGAATACATAGCTAATAAAACGTCTCGAAAAATTACGAAGGAAATCGAGAGTACAGATAACAGATAATATACAATAATAATAATTCATAATATTTTTCAAAATTTCCTTTCCATTTAGTTAAACTTGCGCTGGTTCGAGAGATTACCTAATAAGACTTCTTGAAGAATGACGAAGGAGATCGTAATCGACTGTATTAGGGAGACGGTGAGTTGCGATAGAGGACGTGTTGAAAAAAAGCGTAACGTTTTATTCAGAATATCGAGAAAGAATGGAGTATCAATGAGGCATTGTGAAGGAAACGCGACGTGTAATTTTTCTCTGTGTATAACGACCCCTTGGCTCGGTTGGCTGGAACACACCCATGCCTCCTCCAGTGAAGGATGCTCAAGGTCGGTGTTTCCTGTTTAATTAATTAACCGGCAGCGCCGTCCTCCCTTTACGTTTCGTCCAAGGGACACCTGGTAATTTTCAACTGTCGCGGCTTGATTATGCGTGTGCACGCAGCCAGGCCACGAACCGCCTGCGGCTAGCCGCAAGTGACAAGCAGACGGGGCAATTTCGCATAAAACAGTGGAACGACTCTTGAACGCTCCTTAGAACGCTGCTTAAAACCGACGAGTACCGACGAGTCCGATATTTCCACGTGGAACGTGACAAATTCGTGGCAAGAAAAAAAAAAATAAATAAATAAATACGCGTAAACAATAAAACATACAAAACGTACGTTACAAACGTAAATGGAAAAATATACGTCTTGTGTATTTATTTCGATATTATTAAAAAAAAAAAAAAATTATTTACATACACACCGATGCTGAAATTACGTTATTCAAAAGGTTAACAAATTTGCATAGAACTCGTTAAGTAAGATGTACCGAGGCAATCATGCGAGCCGAACTTGTTCTTCTTCCGCGAAACGAGGATCTGGATCATATCTTATGATTGATGAGTGAACAAGTTGAAATTCTGGTAGCTTGTTTTCCCTAGTTTTTGTCAAACACGAGGTTTCCAATTCTCGTGCTCCTCCTTTTTCCCGACATATATCTTCATTACGAAAACTTGCAAACTTGCAGTCACCAAGTTCCAATTATGATCATGGGATCGTGATAACACCGATTAAAGTATTATTAGTATCTGGTCACAGCCGTACCGTGCCGGTTGCCTACTGCACAGGCGCTTCGCCAACGATGGAATTAAAACGCTTAATAACTCGAAGCCTCCGACGATCCTGTATACGAACTCTCTTCTTTTTTTTTCGATGTCCAGAATCGATCCCCCATTAGTATTCCACGAATGTATTAATTTACATTTTTCTTCTTTTAATTTGAATCGATCTCGTTACTGGCCAACTCGATCAGAATGCAAATCTGGACGATCACTCGTATTTCGAATACCATGTTTTTCCCTTTCCCAATGATTTGAGAGCAGATCTCTCTCTCTCTCTCTCTCTTTACAATTTCAAACCGTGGACGATAATGGATCGGAAACACGATATAGAGAAACTATTTTAGA